CCCTTGGCCCCTCTGTAGTGTAAGAGGGTCCCTGCCCCATGGCTGAGATGGGGGCAGGGGGAGCCAAGGCACATGACAGGGCTGGGGGCAGGGCCTGTAACACGAGGGCAGGAGGGTAAATTCTGGGCCCAAGCAAAGAGGTGCAGAATGGACCTACATCTGTCCCTTTCACCCTCTGACCCCAACCCCCCACAGAAATGCAGGGCCCAGCCTGCCCCACTCTGACCTGGCACGAGAATGGGGCACAGTGGGCAGCGTGCACCTGGCTGGTGCCTTACGCAGCATGAGGCACCAAGGGCAGGGGCAAGAGGGTGGGCTCAGCCCTCCCGCTATGCCCCACTTTTGGTCTCTAGTGTTCCTGTTTGCTCCCAGAAGCCTAAGCACCGGGCAGAGGAAGGGGCTGTGGAAGGACAGGGTATTCCTCCTGCCCTGGGAAGCCTGGGACCCTGGTGTCTAGGGGCAGTGCTGAGGTTTTTAGAGTCCAAACCCAGGCTCACCCCTCTGCCCTCTGTCCTGGAAGGAACAGGGTAGGCCCCCAAGACTGGGGAGGGAGCCGGTTAGAGCAGGAAGGGGATGAACACAGAGGCACCCCTGGAAACTTTGGCAAAAACAAGGAGCTCATTGGAAGGGGTGGGGAGAGGGCAGAGCAGGTCCTCCCCCAGTCACTGGTGGTGTCTGAGAGATGGTCAGTCTGCTGCCTGGAACCCCAACCCCCACAGCAGGGGAAGTCAGGGGCCTTGGTCAGGGTGGGGGCTACGGCCCCCTTTGCCTTGGCCCCCTGGAACTTCGTCCTCGCTGGAGGCCTTGGGGTGGGGGCCAGGCTGCGAGGAGTCGTCCTCAAACATTTCGGGGTTCTCCAGCATCTCTCGGATCAGGGGAGGCATCGGGCCCGGAATCTCCATCTTTAGGGTAATGGCCCTTTCTGCTCCTGCAATTGAAGAGCAAGGAGATTCACGGGGGCAGAGGCACAGACCCTTAAGGCCATCTCCTTAATCTTTCTCTGACTCCACTCTGGGGACTCCCAGCACAGGCCTGCCGCCTCTCTGTCTGCCTCTCTGTCACCGTCTCTCTACTCTAGGGTTGCTGGGGACCACCCCTCTCCCTGGAGCCCCTACCTGTTTTCTCTGCTAAGCCTGCTGCTCATTTGTCCCATCCTTTCAGGCTGTCTCCTCAAAGATCACAGTGCCCAACTTCCAGTCCCAATGCCTGGACACCACTACCCTTCCCCGTAATGTCTATAGCTTGCCAGTTGTTCCTAGGGCTGTGTTCTCTTTTGGGGGGCTGTTCTCTTTTGGGGGCTTTTGGGGGGGTAATTAGGTTTATTTAATTTATTTATTTGTTTTTTATTTTAACAGGTACTGCAGATTGAACCCAGGACCTCATGCATGCTTAGCTAAGACTAAGCTACACCCTTCCCCTGTCCCAGGGCTGTTCTTAATAACATTTACAACTATAACTAATATTTATCAAACATGATCTGCCAGGCGTCCTTCTAAACCAGTACTGTCCAATAGAACTTTTGTGATGATAGAAGTATCTCCACTCTCCAGTGCACTAGGCACTGGTCGCACATGGCTACTGAGAACTGGAAATGACATCACTGCACCAGAGGAACTGAATTTGTAATTCAGCACAGCTCTAAGCCTGCTGTGTGTTAACTTGTCTCATCCTCACAAAACTTAGGAGGTAGGTTTAAGTACCGCCCAGTTTGCAAACAGGAAAATGAGGTATAATAAAAAAGGCATTTGCCCATACTGTCCACACTAGCGTGTGGCAGAGCTAGGATGCCCGTGTAGGCTGCCTGGTTCTCACCCATTCTGTTCTTGTCTCTGCCTGACCCTGGAGACCAGCAGCTCCAGGAAGAGAGAGGGGAGATTCACTTCCGACTAACCCTTGGTGCTGATGCCCCGGAGGTCGGTGATCTTCATGAGCATCCTCGGGAACATGTAGGGTTGGCTGGGCCGCCGCCGCCGGGCATAGAGCCTCAGGGCTTCCAGCAGCGGTTCCTGTAGCTTGTCCACTTTTTCAGGTTCCTCCAGGTCCATGCGGTCTGTAGGGACAAGCCCAGGGGAGTGAGAGAGGAAGAGATGGGAAAGACAGTGACAAGTGACTGATCCCAAGTGGCCCTGCCCAATGGCCCTCCAGGTCCCAAACTCAGACCAGGAGCCCCACCCAGACCATGTCCCCTGCTCCACACTCTGTACAGTCACCCCTTCAGCAAGAGGCTTTCTCTAGTAAATCACTCTTGCCCAGACCTCTATGTCAGCACTAGTATCTGGGTCTCTTCAGCTCCCCCTAGCTCTGCCCCTCTTTTTGTCCTATGTCCCAGGCTGCCAGGGAGTCTGTACTGGAACTGAGGAGTCTGTGAATAAGGGCAAGGTCTGGGCCTGGTGGGAGATTAGGTATGGGGTGTGGCAAGAAAGTAGCCTGAGCAAACGCCAGAGGGCGCTCCCGCACCTCCACAGATGAGGCAGATGGCACTGAGCAGCCCTGTCTCCGTGTCATCCATCTCCAGTGGCAGGAGCTGCCCAGCAAAGGCAAAGACGAGGTCTGTGAGGGGCCCAAAGCCGGCGTTGTGCATCTGGGTCCGGTTCAGGGTCAGCCCGTCGGAGAAGGTCATGGTGTCCTGCTCTGGGGTGTACCTTGTGCAGATCCGCAGCATCTGGTGGTGGGCGGGGGGAGGGTGAGTGAGGTCTCTGGGAAGGAGCACGTAGAGGGGTGGGGAAAAGAGGGAATGAGGGGCAGGTGGAAAGTGAGGAGGTTAGGTCCAGAAGGAGGGCAACCTGAAGCAGACAGTGGGAGGAAGGCAGGGAGGAGGAGGGTCTGAAGCTTGGAGGGAAGATAAGTCAGAAGGAGGCAAGGCATCCAGAAGTCTAGATCAGATCTAAGAGGTAGAGGTTAAGACAAAAAGAGCTTGGATTCTGAGGAGATCTAGGGAGTCCTAGATTGGGAGAGAGAATGAAATCTATGTGGGTCAATTTCTTGGTCTCATATGAGGGTCAGGCTGCGTTGGGAGACAGGCCACAGGGCTTAACCTACCAGGATGTCCAGGCAGGCAGCCTTGAGCAGAGTGATCTGGTCAGCAATGCTGAGCCCTGTAAATCCAGGCAGCCGCTTGGCAAACTCCACAATCTTGATGATGCACTTGGTGGCCAGCTCGCTGAACTTGTCCCAGAGCCCCAGATCCAGCTGCACCCGGTGGTCCGCACTGGAGTTCTGTGGGAAAGACAGATGAGAATACAAGCTAAGGCCCACCTCAGGTTGGGGAGGCTGTCTTCTTTCTGCCAGTCTCCCAAGCTTTCCCTTCTGCATTCAGATGCCCTCCTTGTCATCAGCCCCACCAGACCACGGCCTCCCACACAACCCCTACCCATTCTCCAAAGCCAATGGTCCCCTGCCCTCACTGGGGCCCTACCCGCTCCTCACCGTGGTGTATTTGCCCAGCTGGCAGAGCGAGGGGAAGGTCTCCTGATGGGCTTTGCTGACCTTGGTGATGAGCTCTTCTAACTGGGGGCTCAGCTCATAGCTATCAAGTGACCCTTCTTCCTTCACCTCTTTCTTTTTCTTGTTCCGATCATTCCGCACAGCTTGGGAGGAGGCACAAGGAAAGGGTCAGGACCCTTAGAACCTCCCTCTGAATATCCCCTCTCACCCTAATTTAGGTCAGTCCTCATCAGGAACATCCATTCCCTGGGACCCCAGTTTGGACCTCAGTCTCCTTGACTCCTACACTAGCTCCCATTCCCAGGCTGGCTCTCCCCAGCCCCACCCAGGGCCTGCAGCCCCTGCTCCCTCCCCAGGCCATTAGGCTCCATCCTGCCCTTCCTGTCACCCTGCAGGAGCTGGGGAGGGGGGGCAGGATATGCAGGCAGCAGGATATCCACTTATAGCCTTGGCAGCACAATGGCGCGAGGGGGAGGGGGGGTACCCCAGGATCCACCGTCGGGCTCAGTCCTGGGAGAAGGGGGAGGGGGACTGGCCCAACGCCCCCCTACC